AATTTATAACATTGCAACACTGGAATATATGTGTTGAGATCCTTTGCTTAACACACACATACCAAATTAAATTACTGTCTGAGAGACAATGGCTGCGTGATGGACATTGTTCAGCTTTCAGTGTGGTTGGCGTGTCAAGGGTGGCCAATACATGACAGATGCCTGACAAACACACCATGACATATGCCTACTACAGTTTCAGTCTATGAAGTAAAATGCTGGATCAGATTATTATTTGTCCACATTTATGACAAGCATAGGGTATTGAGAATGAAGTTTGAATGACAAACAAAAAGATAAATTATAAACAAGGCAGGGTTGTCATGATAAGCTTCATCTACCTATGGATCAGTCCAGATTGGCTTAACCGTGAAGGTCCAGGTTAGAATTGATCTTCAGTAACCCATGCTTGACGTGGGTGGTCAGGCTCGCTGACTTGGTTGAGTGAGTGAGTTTAGTTTTATGCCGCACTCAGCAATATTCCAGCTTTATGGTGGCGGTCTGTAAATAATCGAGTCTGGACCAGACAATCCAAGTCAGCGAGCCTGACCACCCGATCCCGTTAGTTGCCTCTTAGTCACATAGTCGCCTTTTGTGGCAAGCTTTGTTTGCGCTGAAGACCTATTCTACCCCGGATCTTCACGAGTCGACTTGGTTGACACATGTCATCGGTTCCCAATTGCGCTGATCGATGCTCATACTGTTGATCACAGGATTGTGTGGTCCAGACTCAATTATTTACAGACCGCCGCCATATAGCTGGAATATTGCTGAGTGTGGCGTAAAACTAAACTCACTCACTCACTCAACCAAGTCAGCGAGCCTGACCACCACCACTCACTCCAGATTGGCTTTGAGATCCTTACATAACAGCTTTATCAGATCATATATCTGAAATCATTGTTATAACTTTTCACATATCATTTAACAATATATATATATTGATAGCCTTCAGGTTTACCCTGCAACCACCCACTCATCCATCCTTTCCTTCAGCTGACAGCACCTTATCCTGTCACAGAAGTCACACTGTCCAGAAATAACCTCAAGGCCAGCCTGACTGACCTGGTCAAGGTATGGACAGCAACACAAGGCAGTCCCTTGTTTACCTAATACATGGACAAGATACTTGTGCTCTGAGTACTTCAGATAGCCAATACCATGCATCTTCATGGACCAACACTTCAGTACCATGAAAGATGGCTTAGTAATCCACTCAGCCATGACCTATGCTGTCTGACTAATAGGGAGACATCATTTAGAGAACAGTAGTACTCCTTGTGTCAACGGCTATACCAGCTGAACCACATAGTTAAAAATTAAGGGAGGTCCAGTGGAATGTCAGATGTTTTGGGTGTACATTTAATAATTTTCTTTCTTCAGGAGTGAAAATGTTCCTTTAAGTGAATTTATCGTTTGGTTCATCTTTAGTGAAGTGATCGTTGCAAAAACGAACGCAAACAAGTGCAGGTGTTGACAAATATGCAACTCAAGACAGATGGGAACAGTTTTTGGGTCAGCAGGCTCCAGATTTGGGTACTGTTTTTAGATTTAACATATATATTAATGTTCAGGTTGAAATGGATGGAAAGAAATTGTTCCTATGGGGTCTCCCTCTCCGAGACATTTAGAAAAGCATTGGCACGAAATCACCAAAAAGGAAGCAGACATATGTAAGTTAACAGGTAACAACGGATGCACAAGAAAAATAATGGTGCATTTACATGATTGAGTTACCCAAAGCTGTGTTTTGTATGACTTATAAACATTTGCACTGCAAACAGGTCATACTTGACAAACATTCATTTCCTTTTAACATCGGAGTGTAAGCATAGCCTAGTGGTTAAAGCATCTGCTCATCCTGCATTAGGTCTGGGTTCAATTCCCCATATGGGTACAATATGTGAAGCCCATTTCTGGTGTCCCCCGCCATGATATTGCAGGAATATTGCTAAAAGCGGCGTAAAACCATACTCAGTCAGTCAGCCAGTCGGTCAGTCCTTTTAACATCAGACAAATATCCAATTTATCAATAATGATCGCATCGTTCTGCAAATGTCCCTAAGTTTTAGCAGCATGAATTTTAATTTGTAGACTTACAATGAACACAAAATGAGTTTTCACACGAATTACCAGAGTGCCATACTGGATTTTATATTCCGTAGAAATCAGAAATCAACTCCGTTTTCAAATATGCCAATGGATTAGGATAAATATTCATCTTCCTAACACCATATGAAAAATATGAAAGGTGCACCTGCTTTTTTTGTATGTACAACTTGAAGTGGGATATAGATGTACTTCTACTTCTGCAGGAATAGTGTCACTTGACAGTTGAATGAGTAAAAAAGAACTAATTGAGTTTTAATTAAGTAGATGGAATCACAATATGATACATTTCATGTTTAGAAACACAATGTCTTCATTTTTAGGGTGCCATAGGGCACCAGACACATAATTAGGGCTGTAACGATGCATCAAACTATGGATGGATTGCAATTGTTGAGTCTCCGATAGCAAATAATCGATGGTAGAAACAAAAAACTATCTATGCATCGATAGTATGTGTGACTATCGATAGTTTAGTAATTGACTTCTGTTGATAAATGCGCAGCGCAAAATACAAGATGTTTGGGTGCAGACTTGCAGCTTGATTGAGTTCATGTTTTAACTGTTTACTTGATCTGGGTTCAAAGTTTGTCAGTTATTCAAATAGACTGAAACTACTTCAACATGTTTTTATTTCATATAAACTATACATTCTTTTGAGAAATGACTTCAAATGCAACAATTCAAGAAGACAAAAAACTATTGCAATAGTTATGCAATAGTTGGTCACAATAGACTATCGCTATTGCAACAGTTGTTTCCCCGTCAATAGTCACCCCTACAGATAATATGAGTGTGCCTTTGTGAAATAAGCGTGTCCATACCTTTTAACTTGAAACATCACCACAATTATGTCATTTCAATTTATTGTATAATAAATCAGTAAACTTTATGTAAACCTGTAAATGTGAGAGCTTGATTCCCTAAACATATCAAGACAGCAAAAATAGTTCAGCTTCATTTGTCCTGGACCTGTGTGCAAAATAGCCACTGGCCCGCTAGCCCGTGGCTAGTAAAAATCCAGTCGGGCCAGTAAATCGCCACAGTTACTGCCCCGACTTGCTAGTGAATTTTGGCCATTTTGTAAATATATCACTCTCCGACTTGTTAAGTTATAAATACACTTTCAAATCATGCAAGATTATGGCCTGATAAAAATGGTCATTATATTTGCAGCTTAATGATGAAACCTGTGTCATGCCGACAACATCTTATTCTCATCTTTTTTTGTAATTTTTTGCTCAGTTTCTACATTAAAATTTCGGGCTGGTGAATTAATTTGTGAGCTAGTAACTTTCAGGCATTGTTAGCCCGACTGGCTAGCATAATTTGCAAACTATTTCGCACACTGTCCTGGACACTTAAACTAAGCCACGAACAATGTTATCTAAAACAGGATTTCCTGTTATGCTCACTGTTAAGCTGTGGGAATGACAGTGGTTTGGTTTTGTTTGTTGCTTTACACCTCACTCACCAATATTCCAGCTGTATGGTGGCGGGATATGACAGTGCCACTGATAAACAGTTTGATTGGGTGCAGAAAAAGGTTTTGAATCATTTCAGTTGGTCAAATGCATCACGTTTTCCATTAAATATATCATGTGTCTTATTTATATTGTTTTAGCTGAGATGCCAGGGCATATTTTACCCATGTTATTTCAATATTAATATTTACTGTGCCAATTAAGCACTGTTTCAATCACTGCATTTGAACCTACTGTAGTTAGTATAATTGAGATAAAGCAATATTAATCCTATTTTGTAGGCCACAGACAGCTTACACTTTTTCTTCATGTCTCAGGGGCAGTGAGGTAGCCTAGTAGTTAAGGCATTTGCTCATCACACCGAAAACCTGGGTTTGATTCCCCACACAATGTGTGAATCCCATTTCTGGTGTCCCCCGCCATGACATTTCTGGAATATTGCCAAAAGCAGCGTAAAACTAAACTCACTCATTCACTTCATGTCTTAGATATTTTCTCTCAATAATATGGATGTTTGTGGGAACTATTCTGGCAGTTTCTAAAGGGACAATTTCTATTTAAGTTGATAATTCAAAGTAAAACATATCCTATACTTCACATGCAAAATACTGTCTTACTCAAATATGTACTTTACTTACCAGTGATCTGAGTGAGTGAGTGAGTTTAGTTTTACACCACTTTTAGCAATATTCCAGCAATATCATGCCGAGGGACACCAGAAATAGGCTTCCCACAGCAGCCATGTGGGGAATTGAACCCGGGTCTTCGGAGTGACGAGCGAACGCTTTAACCACTAGGGACCCCAACGCCCCTACCAGTGATGTATTAATGTTCAATATGAACTTGATATCCTCAGTGAATTTTGCTCACTGCAGTATTAAACAAGATTTAATAACCCCCTGAACCTTACTTCAACAGCTGTTAACCATTGCTCTCTTCTAATATACATTTATGTATTTAGTACATGGTATTATAACATGCATACAGTATCAAAACATGCATGTACATCTTTCCAAGTAACCAAATATGAATTAATGAAAAATGTTTATCAGTTCATTTGAAATAAATACTTTATAATAGCAGCTGTCATTGTCTGGACACAATGATTATCTGAACTGGTTTTCAGTGAGATGGAGTGTATATTTCCTAATGTTAGATTAATTAATAATCACACATGGGTTTAGGACTGTGCTAACTCTGTCACACCACACAAATTACCCCACACCATTCATACCAAACTATTGATTGGGATATATATCTTATCTGCTAGATCCAGGTCCTCGACTAACTGGTAAGAACGAACTTTGTGAAATCGCCCTAAAAAAGAGGTCACTTGCAGTTACATTATCAAGAAGTACATGTAGGTTAGCGTTCGCTGGAGATAACATGTAAAGGTGTCATACTCACCAAGCCCCCACCAACGACAGCCACTCGTTTCTTGTTATCGGACATATTGGTAGCTGATGTCAGTGTGCTACAGTCTCGCTGAGCTTCGAGTCCCAACTTTTCGCCCCCATGCGCTGAGTGGTGACTGATGGGTTGTTGTGCCTGTGACATACTCTCGGGGTCACGGTCACATTGTTAACGACAGCTGATTGGTTCGTTCTGTCAAAAACAAAATTTATGGGTCTTACCATTGGCTTTGTGGTTTACGCCCCTTCCCGCACATGGCTGATTTCTCAGGAGAACAGCCGTACGCTTGTGAGAACTTGTGACAGGTGATAAACAATGTCGACAGTGGTATTTGTCTAACAAGTTACGAAATGTTTTGCGCGGAACATATTTCCTTGTCATTCTCGTTATTTATACTGAGTTTATGCAACACAACAAACTTTAAGAATATATGCAGGGACATGGACTGCACCGGCAACGCAATCCGATGAGCGCAGAACTTCATGCGTCCCTCAACAGAATCTGTATGATCGCGAGTTCGAATCCCAGATTCTAATCATCAAGATGCAAAAACTTTCATTACTTGGCAAAGTTTGGACTTTAATTTCTTTCCTCTAGCATTCCTTCAGGTGATAACAGTGAAAGTAACATCGGCAGTATCTCAGCCAAATCGTGGCTAGAAAGGTTATAAATGCACAGTGTGCGAAATAGTTTGCAAATTTTGCTAGCCAGTGGCTAACCATGCCTGAACGTTATTAGCTCACAAATTAATTCACTAGCCCGAAATTTGAATGTAGAAACTAAGCAAAAGATAACAAAAATAGATGAGACTAAGATGTCGGCATGACACGGGGTTCATCATTAAGCTGCTGATATGATGAACATTTTTATCAGGCCATAATCTTGCATGAATTGAAAGTGTATTTATAACTTAACAAGTCGGAGAGTGATATATTAAACAAAATGGCCAAAATTCACTACATTTTTACTAGCCACGGGCTAGCGGGCCAATGGCTATTTAGCACACTTTCATACATACATAATATAAAACACTATGTACATCAGAATTTATCAACCAATTCAATTTGTTTACAAAAACAATTATTCATTGATAATTAATACCATTAAAAACTTCAGTTTAAAATGACTAATCATGACAAATATGTAACACTCTTGTACATCAGAATTTATACCAATCCCAGACAAAACAATTATTCATTGATAATTAATACCATTAAAAACTTCACATTTATATACTGTTGTACATATCCCTATCGCTTGTGACAGAATGTTGTACATCCCAGACCTACTGGATATTTGATTCTTTCATCACAAGGGATACATTTGTACCTACTGTTGTACATTTGTACCTACTGTTGTACATTTATACCTACTGTTGTACATTTGTACCTACTGTTGTACATTTATACCTACTGTTGTACATTTATACCTACTGTTGTACATTTGTACCTACTGTTGTACATTTGTCCCTACTGTTGTACATTTGTACCTACTGTTGTACATTTGTCCCTACTGTTGTACATTTGTCCCTACTGTTGTACATTTATACCTACTGTTGTACATTTGTACCTACTGTTGTACATTTGTACCTACTGTTGTACATTTGTACCTAATGTTGTACATTTGTCCCTACTGTTGTACATTTATACCCAATGTTGTACATTTGTCCCTACTGTTGTACATACCTACTGTTGTACATTTATACCTACTGTTGTACATTTGTACCTACTGTTGAACATTTATACCTACTTGGGTGTCCCGTATCTCATGAGTTCGATCTCTAAGGTAACGTATAACGGGCTTCTAGTTGGTGTATGGTATCAGAAATGGGTCACCGATTCAAATGGTGCGTGTCTCAGCATCAAGTTTCTTACCAAAATCGGGTTTATTTGTTATTAATAGGTCTCTGTCTTTTAACATGGTGAATGCTGGATTGAAAACACTTACCTTTCATTTTCTGGATCATGTTTCATACCTTTGATAACATGAATTGATTTGACTACATACTTCAGCCAAGATTTATCTTTTTCTCTGTTTAAAAGTACGCCGCCAGACCTGTTTTGCCATTTATGATCTTGAATGTATTTAAACCGTGGACCCTTGGATGCCGACGGAAATAATTTTTCCCTTGTCACCCTAGATTGTTTGCATTTATCGTTGAAGCGTGGTTTTCGGACATGTGGAATTGCAGAGGACTTTGGGGTACACCCGTCATCTATGTTATTTAGTTCTTCAGAAAACATTCATGGCATCAGGAAGGTCCATAACAGATTAGGTGTTAGTTTGTTACAACACAGGGTTTCGCATAAAGGCTAGTAAGCCCTTTTAAAAAATCTATCTTGACGATGTAGATGAGATGGTGTTACAGGTTTTACAATTAGTACCGCAAGAAAGTGGCCACTTCCTTAGATGTCGTCGCAGATTCCCCTTATCACATTCAGTAGGTTTCCGTCTGTAGCTGACAAATCAAGAGCTGCATAAGTTGTAAATATGTGTTTGAACCATCATTATATATGCATAAAACATTATTTGAAATGAAATCCTCCAGAATTTTACTTTTAGCGTTTGTGGTTATTTAAGTCACCCATGATTACACAGGGTTTGGGAACTCGATCATAGAGATTTCGAAGACGCACAGAGCAAGCGCAATATTTAAAGTGAGTAAGTCGCACTGCAATGGCTTGGCCATTGTACTTGCGTGTCACGGGGCTTTGGATAATACCATACCTTACAGGGATTGACAATTCTCCAGTGGCCCTATCATCTCGAGGAGAAAAATGCAATGAACCGATGTAAGTTAAAAGTAGCCGTCTTCTTTAGATATGTTGGGCGGTTTTTGTAAGCAGAATGCTGACGATTTAAAATCTTGGACTGAAAGGTGTAGTTCATTAAGCTCTTCAGGCCTCTCCAGTGCCACTGTATAATAAGCGATAAGCTTTGTGACCCGTTTTTTTATGTTTCAGGGCACATTTATGCGGTCTAAGGATCAGAACCTATTGCAAAATTGGATTTTGTCATTGGAACCTTGAACTCTTTGCCACTTTGACATTTCTGTGAAGATTCACATATAGATTTAATTTTGGTTTTCGTGTTTTCTTGTCTGTTTGTTCGAGATTCAGGTTTTGATGTTGGCTGTGATGATTTCTCCTTGAAAGAAGAAGCTCCCTAGTTGATTCTGGAAGTACATCAGTAGATGTTTCAGGTGACATAATCTGCAGAAATCAGTTTTGACCCATGTCAGGTTTGTTTTACAGCTGGCAGATCAGTTGGTTTGTTTAGTGGTTGTATCAAACGGTGTGCATACTACGGGGGCACAGGTCTCTAGAAGTTCAGATCTTTGAATAAGTTTTTTTATCATCTGCAAAACTTATGTTTTGGATAAAGCTTTACTCTGTTAATCTCCGTTTGCAATTTCCATATGGACTCTCTCTTCGGAATGACGAGTGAATGCCTTCGCAGTTAGTCCATGATTTTAGGTTGCTGTTGCAATCTTTTGATGTGTGGGTCTTCTCATCACAGTGAGAACAACAACCGACAATGTTCAAGATTTGACAAAGGACGGCACTTTTGGCAATTGAAACTTCACAAAGTATTCGGAATGTTGGTATCAACATTGATGTTACAGTAACCTGCCATTATTGATTTAAGAGCATTTGGAGATGTAAATGTGCTGGTTTGCTAGGTTGAAGGGTTGGGTTGAATGGTTGTGAATCGTTTAACACAACGTAAAGTTACACATTGATCTTTCATCTATAGAGATTATTACACTCGCAAGCGTGTCATACGACTTATACGGAACGAGTGTGAAATTTTGTATTGCCCTCGCTCTCGCTCGGGCAATACACAAATTTTGCACCAATTTCGTATAAGCAGGGATAATCCCTGGTATAAGTCGTGTGGCATGCTTGCGAGTGTAATAATAATTTCTTTATTATCCATTTTATTCATGTACATTTGTGCAGTAAAACACATTAAGCAAGTGTGACTGACCTGTTCATTGACGTCACGTTCAGTTGTTTAATTACGTCACAGACAACGAAATACAGAAACAATGGTTGCTAGGTAAAAGTGATATTTATTATTAAAATATTTATTATTCTAAGATGCTTCGGTGAAAGATCAAAGGCGCCGACAGTACTTTATCAGACGACAATGTGCACTTTTTGCATTACGTCACACTGTAAGCGACGTCACGATGCATGTCAGTTGTCATCGCTTCGTACAGCCTCCTACAGTTAAATACTCCGTTGCATCCCGTTTCTTCGTTTGCAGTTGCTTCACGCAGCTAACATCACTGGTGGAATCATTACGTTCATGTTTTCCGACGGTTAAACTGTCTCAATTCGACTCACAAGTTTTCAGCGACACGGTAACGTTCGAAATGTTTACATTCCCACAATGCAATCGTGGAATTTCGCTTGACTACTCAGCTTCATCTGGATGTACTGATCTAAACTTACGTTGGTAGTAGAAATGCAACGTTCATATTGCCCCATATGGTTTACGTTAAGCATAGATGTAATTACAATAATTTAGAGAAGGTATTTAATTCGAACGTAAACCGTCATCAAACTGTTATCATTTGATTTTTTCTGGTAACGTTCGTCCTAATGTCGGGGGGCAGACACATCAATAGAACAGCGCGCCAGTTAGCCCTTTGCGAGGATTCTTAATTTAGGTCTCTGACACCGTCGTTTGTTTTCTGCCTTAAATTAATCGTAATTAACCTTAGAAAGTATTAAATTTGGCATCTTAGAACAGAAATACAGTTCGCTCTACCACCATGTATAGTGTAATAAAGCACACTTTCGCCCTGAACTATTATAACGTTAATGCACTCGGGCGCAAACGTCCTCGTACTTTAACTATAATAGTTCAGGGCGAAAGTGTGCTTTATTACAAGACCATTCTTAATGAGGCCTCATGAATATTCATATCTGTACCAAAACGAGGCTAAATTGGGCAAGGACACAATCGCATAATGGCGACCAATCTCAATGTTTACTTCCTTGTTTCAAATTTCCCTTGAACGGTACATTACGAAACTGTCATGTAGTTCAGGGAAATCGCAGAGAAATGGGAAAGGGCTACACAAATGTTTCTGTAGCATATTCACG